GACTGCAGGTACCTACAGAGTGAAAGAAAAGCATTCATGGGAATCCACAGGACAGCTATGCCACAAAAAAACTGCATCAAAGGTGAAGGATAATAGCCAATAAATACCCAGTTATAATGCATTACAGGAAATACAAGGTGAACAGATCAGCTGCATAACCTGTGTACATACCTGCTCTGGAAGGGAATTTAAGGAAGGCTGTGGGAGTTTACAGGGATGGAGTCACCACCAGGACCATAGAGTAGATCCTGTGTGCCTGGAGAGGGGTGAAATCCCTTCCTCACACCATGTGCCACATCTGTGTACAAGATGCACACACCAAGAAAGGACCAGATAAGCCTTGACAGACAGGGCAGTCCCCTCTGATAGTCCACCACAGGGAGAAGAAATGCAGAAATGCATAGATCCCACATTTACTGTGGCCATCAGACATACAAACTCACCAGGTGGGCAGCAGTCTCTCTCTGTCATTCCTGCTGCAGGAACTACAAGACCTTCACGCTCAAAATCACACATCCCTGGGCATCATGGGAGGGGCTAATGCTGGTGCAAGCTGCTCCTCTGCCTCGAGTATGCTCTGCTCTTCTTTTGACACGACTTACCACTCACTGATATCTGTTAACCTTCTCATAACTTCTATGTGTATATAGGCACGCATATATAAGGCACACATTTTTTTAAAACAGTCACATTTCCAGGCAGGAGAAGAAATTACCTTGTACCCTATTCCTGTGTGCTCCTCTCTGATCCTGAAAGGAATTCCTATCATAAAAGACATAAACTTCCAGTCTATTAATCTTTCGTTATCTTGAAACATTAGACCACTTGGCCCCAAGAACATTATGAGTTTAATACAGTCTTGTTTTTTCTGTAAGACTTTGGTTAGCCTAAGAGACTTTTCCTTCAGTGGACTACAGAGAAACTGCCATGAACTCTAAGTCCCTTGCTAACAGAATTGTTTAAAAGGCCATTTTGATGTATCTTGATTTTTACAGGTTGCACTCTGGGTGCAGCTGGTTTGAAGAGGATTCCTTCCTCTGGATCACACTGGGCTCTGCCACAGATGTCATGAAATTGTACCCCCAGTCTTGCCTAAGGGCAGCTTTGCAGGCAGATTAAATGATTTTCCATCTCCCTTTCTTCTAACACAGGCTCTGACTGTCACAGGTGGAAATTATACACTGCACTCAGTTGCTGGGGAATAGGTAATAGTGAGTCCAGTTTGCTGCTTTAGTGGGAAATTAGAGGAGATCCCCTAATCACATGATGTCACATCTTAGAGCCTTACATTCTCTTTGCAGAAAAATAAAAAATGTTGTCCTCTGTGCCTTTGGAAAATGCATTTACTGAATGCTTTTTCATCTTTTAGGCTGTATTTGAGTAAACATTTTATGCTTTCAAGGATCACTGGTGATTTCAGTACAACTCTGCATGCAGTGAAAACTAAGCTCAGGCAGATGCCTAAGCACTTTGCAACCACCGGGTGGTTTGGATATTTGGGGTTTTCTTTAAGCAATTGCCCCTGACTGTTTTGCACACCATCTATTCCATAGCTTGTCTGTTTCAGAAGTGATGCTGGGGTTGCTGGCTGGGTTTCCTGCCACAGCTACCAGTAGCACTAATAGTGTCATTCATTCCAAACAAACAACGTAATAACAGCCCTATCTTCTCTCTTGATGACATATAATCAGATCTGCATTATGAACAATCATCTGTTTGTGTGTATTTATACTGCAAGACAAAACACTTGCACAAACACTAGCCAGCAATCCCTTTTTTCTCTTTGTAGCTGCTGCCTCAGGTGTTATTTGCTCTCCTCTACAGAGGATCTGAGTCTGCTGAGTTGGTTGTTTGATGTGAGCAGCAGTGGTTTGCACTTTTAATGTCATGGATACCTGTATCCAAGTTAGTGTTGTTTGGGATTTCCAGGAGCAGGTGTGCACTTTTTGCTGGGTATGAATAAATAGTTCACACAAATTATGCAACCAAACCCCAGATTAGTGCTGCCTATTGTTCACAGGGTGTGCCTTGATCTCCTAAAGAGAATGGTTTTGTTTTATTTTATTGATCCTTCTTACCTGAACGACAGCCCTGTCAGGTGTATGTGCAGCCCAAAACTGGGATTCCTCTGCAAAGAAGGATGAAGAGTAAGGTCATCACCACCAGAATTTCCTGGAGAGAGTATAGCTGAGGATACAGCTCATTGCAAGGGACAGAGGGTCTTTTCCCTCAGCGCTGCAATTCCCTGAACACAGAGGATGCAGCCCAGCACCAGAAGGGTTACTGCCTTCTGCCACTGACAATTTTCCCTTCTGTTCCTTTCACTGGTCTTGAGATGCTCATAACCTCATTAGCTGAAAAAAAAGGTTTGCTTCAGCTTGAAGACAAAAAAAATGTCATTGTAAATGGACATATTTATATATGTCTATATTTTCATTACCTGTTTGAAAAAAACAAGACTGCTGCCTGTGTCCCTGTGAATGGGAATGTTAGAATGAAAGCCCAGTCATTTCCCACATCTCTGAAAGCCCCCTCACACAGGTGTTATTTAATTCTGTCTAAAACACAATCTCTAAAAAACTTGCTATTTTAAAAACCTAATCTTGCAAAAACAGTTTAGAGATTCCTATCTTCCTCCCTCTCTTCATTCCTGTCCGTCACCATGCATTCTCAAGCCTTCCAGAGTGCCATGGCCCACTTGTGCCCCACCTTAATCAGATCGGTATCTTCCATTTCTTGAATCGAAACAAAGCCAATAACCTACCACACTCACAGGAATCCAAAACACTCTTCTGATGCAGAAACATTCATTTTTAAACAATCTATTAAAGAAGCTGTGTCATCCAAGTTGTTCCCAAGTTAGATAGCAGATTGGATCATAAAAAAGTATTACCCTCAGCAGCACTATCTGCTGGGTGAGGTCACAACTGTATTATGGTTTCTTAATAAACCTTTTCTGCCTGTATAAGGCCAACACACCTGCAACATTTTTTTCCCCTGAACTTCTTAGTGGCATGAAGTATCTTCTGGCTAAATGTATTTGTTGGTATTAAACATGATGCTTTTTCTGAAGATTTTCTTTTTTCTAGACAACTGATTTTTAGATTGTGGGGAATGGCAAATATGCACCTGACCACTCGAAAAGAGCATGAGGAAAACCAAACCAAACCTTAAAAGTGTGACACACTTCCCACGTTGTTAAATCTTTGAGACTGTAGTTAGGCAAGTGAATTTTATATTGTCATATAAATACCTCATTGAGAGTGTTTGCTTTGCTTCTATTCTATTCTATTCTATTCTTCTGGGTATTTCTACTTATACCTTATAATTATTTTTAAAGAAAACAGGAAGATGATAAGAAATCTTTGAAGCATCCCTTGCAATGGCTGTGTATCTCACATGGCATGAAGGAATCCCTGTTTACATTGAAACATTTTGTTGCTGCTGAAAATTAAGTAACAAAGAGAAACACACTCACATGTGAGCTGCTGGTTCAGCGCTGCTAAACAAACCCAGTCCTCAATGCACCCTGTCAAGCACCTATTGTCAGTCCTCATGTACTTTTATTTTCTTATTCTCCAGCCAGTCTAAGGCTCCTGGAGCAGAGCAGAGTTGGATTTCTTCCATAAGAAACACTTGAGGAAACAGAAGGGAAAACTTCTTATTAAACTAAAAAATATTAAACCACTAAGGCATTTTTTAAAACTGAAAAGGTCAGGTGAAAAACATGTCTTGTTTTGCAAGGCTTCTGTTTGTCTTAAATGGGCAGGTAATCTGTCAGCTATGGTTCAGCTGTTACTTAGAAGAGAGTGGAATACATTTATATTCCTCTGATTAATTTTTCTGATTATTTTTTGGCTGTGCACCTGACATTACAGTCTCTTGTTTTACCTCAGGCCTATTTGAATCTATTTGCAACCATCATAATTTCAAAAGAACAAGATATCCAGGAACAAGTGTCATCCAGTTTCCAATCTATTTATCCAAGGTTTCATTCCAAAGATGTGTGCAGTTACCTTATGATTAAAATGCAATAGACCATGACACTATCACTGAATTACAACTGTATTACAAATTTTACTTCCTACAGCTGACCTCAGCCTGAGGAAATAACATTTTGGCACCATTTCCAAAAAAATGGCAGTGAGGAATCTTTTGGCATGGCTGTCTTTACCTCGACCTTCCTGGTCAGTGCCAGGATAAGTGATCTGATTGGGGCAGGGGACACTGCAGTAATGCCCACTTGATTCACCAGGGGAAATCCTGAGCTCTAAATTACACCAGAACCTGAGCCCTGTCTTTGCCATCCCACAGACTAAGGAAGCAAAGAAATATGTGTTCTGAACTAGCAGGAGATGTATTCTGGTGTGGTGATAGCAGTAAAACTGGCCATTTATATTCTGGAGCTCTCTGGCTGTAAGTGGGCATTAACTGTGTACAGACCATGTGAAATAAGGTTTGCTCCAAGGTGTGAAAGACTTCTTCACTTCTGTGGTCTCCAGATGCTGCTAACAAGGGCACATCTGCTGGTTAATTTTAATCTCTGTTCTTCCCATTAGGTCAAGACAGCAGTGTCCTGTTGCTGAAGTTGTGTAATATTTCCTGGGAACATTTTAGCTGTCTTTCTTTTCAGTCACCTTCACCCCTTTCTTTTCTTCACTGAGTTAAAAGGTTTCATTAAATTTCTATCAGTAATTAGTAATGTCAGAAGCCCAGTAGCCCATGATGGATAGACCCTGACTTCTAATGCACAGGGAACGGTGACAGCAGGACATGCAGGGCTGATGCTGTAGATACAAACTCCAGCCTCAGATCTCTGTTCCTGACTGTTGTTGTTGCTTGCCCCAGCAGCACTCATCAGCCTTTCTGTTTTCCTGTCTGATATCCACTTTGTTTTTAAAACTCATCAGTAATCTGAGAAGTTCCTTGTGAATTTTTCACTTCTCCATTTTCTGCTTCACCATGACTTGAAATATCTTGACTTCTAAATTATTTTTCAGAGAGATCTCACAGAATGATGCCTTGGAGGTCATAGAAGCAAATGTGTTTTCCAACCTTCCCAAACTACATGAAATGTAAGTAATGAGCAATCTAAATGCAAAGGAGACAATTATAAAGATTCATTATAGGCAAGTATCAAAGGTTTTGCGGTTTGGTTCAGGTAAGCACTGAAGAATTTGTAGCATTATAGGAGCTTTTGAAATCTCCCTTTGTCTTTTCCATCTTCTTATCGAGCTGTGCCTTTCTTTACCTGCTCAGGCGAAAATTCATCCTCTGATCACTGCCAGGATCAAAAGGTGGTGGGGTCTGCCTGTCCATGGTAGGCTGCTCCCTTGAAATCATCCAGATCTTCTGCTGCCAAAAAGAAAATCTCAGCCTATTGTTCCACTGCATCATGGGACAAACACAATTTTAAGATCAATATATTGATATATTTTTCTCTGATGTTTCATTTCCTCTTTGCAGAAGAATTGAGAAAGCCAACAACCTCGTGTACATCGATAAAGATGCCTTCCAACACCTTCCAAGCCTCAGATATTTGTAAGATCTTTTGCTCTTTACAAGTCCTAGAGTCACTTTGAATTACACACCTGTGTATTTGTCCCGCTGGTGCTGAGCACTTTGGGTGATAAGACAGGAAGATTCCCTCTCCTCACTACCAGTTGCACATTATCAAGACACATTTTCATGCCTGCACAGTCCTCAGAAAAGCTGAAGATAAAACTTCCACAGAGGAGTCCCACACACAAGATCCCCGAGCCTTTCTAAGCAACAGTTTGAAAATGAGTGATGAGAAGAGGAGCTGAAGCTTTCTTACATCTATAGAAACAACTTTAGGTTGAAATTCCCCCTGGGAGCTTAGGGACAAAAATAAAATCTCTCATCTGTCTTTGCTAGGGTGCTGCCTGCTGTTATATGTCACATACATTATGTTAAGCATTCAGATTATTTTTCCTTTGGCAAAGGTGGTGTTATAGCCATGGTCTTCGTAAATGCCTGATGTGAGATGATTAGATCCTCAAAATACAAACATATAGTTTCATACAGATACAAAATAATTGTATACAAAATACAAAATAAAGCTGTATGTACAGCTTTATTTCCTCAGCCAGCCTCATCAAGAATGTGATTTGCACTGCTGGGGTTGCCACATCTGCTTTTGTGGAGCTGCCATCCAAATTCAGTGGTCACTGAATGCATTCTTACAGGAAGCTGGTTACTCAAATATATTTTCACTGCTTTTAGCACATGGTTTTAATGTGACTGATGGTCTCTCCTCTGGATTAGAACCCCAATGAAGTCCAATGGACTCCATTTAAAACTAGTTGGTTTTAATGGTGGCAGCTTATACAGCTCAAATGGTTCCCTTTGGTGAGCAGGATACCAGTTTATTCACCCACCAAGTTGCCAACTCAGTTGCATGTCCATCCACGAACACGTAAACCCCATCTGATTTTCCTGACTGACACAAGAAACCTTACTCATACAGGAAGCCTTGTCTTCCTTACTCATGCGAGAAGCCTGGTCATGGTTTCTACATTTGGGTACATAAAAGGAAATATTTAATTGTCTGGTTAGAGATTTCATAAAGACAGTATGAAATCAGGTCAGTGGTCTGATAAGAGTAGCTCCCAGTAAGCCAAGGAGTGTTTAAAGTCTCTGAAAATCACTAGTATCTGACAGGTTCTGGGCTCAAAAATGCCAAGGGGCATCGCTTTGAATTTTTACTTTAAGATTTGAGATTTAAGACTTGGACTTTAGGAGATAAGGTGCATTTAGCACTACAGAAGCCACTACAGTTTAAACCCTCATTGAACTGGAATATGTCTCTAGATTTGGAGCAGGATTTTTTGCTCTTCCCAGTATTTTGACTGATTCCCACTTTATCAAATTCATCAGGTGCCTTGGTAAACTTAACTTTTGTGTTTGCATAACTGAAACACAGATTTTCTCTTGACAGTAGGGAAATAAAGCTCTAAGCTTGCATTGTCATGAGGAGATATCATGTGCCTTTTTCCTCCCATTTCAAGCCTGAGTCATTCAGCAGTGACTGCTGTCTTTGAGTAGCTCTGGCCACCTAAGAACAAAACCACAGCATTTGTTTATCCCATGTAAAATCCCCAGAACAAGCTGCCTTGGGAGTACAGTTGTCAGATGTACAGATGGGTAGAAAGAATGAGAGCCCATTTATCTCACATGCAATTGAAGAAGAAATGTGAACATACTAAAGAACACACAGTGAGCATTTAAATATGGGACACATAAATCATAGGTGAAGGTAAATTCACACTTTAAATATCTGAAATAGTGAAAGTTTTTCTCTTGGCACTAGTGGATGTTGCCTCTTCTGAACACTTGTCATTCCACACTCCCATGCATGTTGACTCAAACATTCAAAGAGTCCACCTATGTAAAAATTCAGCTGCAGCAGCAATCCTATGACCTATAGAAGCAGCAGGTTAAAAATACGGAGGATTGCTTGTCTACCTGACCATTCCTGTGTCTTCTTCAGGTAGTTTTACTTGCTAGTTGATATCAGATAAAACTGCATTTTGTAGTGTTTTTAAGGTTTTTTCTGTTGTGAGGGCTAGAAGAGACTCTCCAGCTGCTGTATCCTATTTCTTCCCAGATCCACTTCATATATCCCACTAATTAAGTGCTTTATTGAAATTCCTGATGCTCTTCACTGTTCCCTGCTTTCCTCCATTTTCCAGGAGAGGCTTTTCTAGAAACTTAATGATTTGGTAACTAGAAGATTTCCTCTAGTTTATTCACGGCCTCTTAATTGATGTTCATTCTTGTGCCAAATCTTTTCTCTGATTTATGTTCATAAAATCCATCTTTGGTGTTTACTCCACTAATGGATTCATGCTGCATCCTCTCTGTGCCTTTATTTTAGGAGGCAAAACCCCCCAGTCTTGCACGAGTATAGAGTACAAAAGGTGCTGGTTTCATAGCTGGGAGCTTCTGAGCAGATGAATGTGGGGTTTGTTCTAATAACAAGGGTTGAGGAAGATGTGCTGGGGGTATAAATCTGTGCAATGTTGTTGGCTTCAGTGGAGCTACATCATTTCCCAACACAGGGACCAGGAGCAGCACACAAAGTTCTTGTTGGGGACTTTCTGCATCCAATGAGCCAGGCGTGATGCTGAGTAACATCATGCTCAAACCAACATGCTCAGATCACCTCTCTACATACAGCCACACCTTCCTGTTCTGCCCTACATTTCTGGAGGAAAGGTGCCATGTTCTCCATCCCCTGGCTTCACTGACTGGTGCTTGCCCTTTTGGAAACTGACTAGGCAGAAAGCTTTGCTGTTTGAAAGGGTAGGATAGTTAATTTAATGAGAAAGCAAAAACCTTGAGGGAAGGCTGTAAAACACCATCTGATAAAGGTAACCCAGTCCTCATATTCCTTCCTGTGACATGCAAGGAAGAGGCAGTACTGAAAATATAAGGTAAGATGTCGAGGAGGTTAATAGATTGATGGTTTTTCTGTTCAGTTAGGGAGGGTTTGTGGTGGTTGTTCAGGGATTTTTATACAATACACAAGCAAAAGGTTGTAAACATGTGGGACTATAGTTTAAAATAATTCATAAAAGGGTAAAGCATCTGTGTGGAACAGCTATTGCAGAAATGATAAAAATTTTAAGGCCATGAAAGGAAACTTGTAAAACCTGGAAACTTGTAAAACCCGGAAACTTGTAAACCTGTACATCACTGCCTAATTTTCTCATTAATTGCTGTAAGTTAGGAAGGAATAGCACATGGTTTTGTCAATATCTTGTCACATACCAGATTAGGTGATTCTGTCTGACTGTGTAAGGAGGTACAGAGAGACCAAGCTGTAACCAGCATCTCAAAGCACAAGGATTTGGGTACCTGCCCATCCTTGGATCATTGTGGTTCTTCTGAAGTTCCCAGATATGGAGACAGTCTGGCAGGGTACAAGACACATGCTCTGATTCCTTACAGAGTTCTGTGGCTGTAGCAGAACTCTTGAAACACAATGCAGACAATCTTTCGGGAAAAAAAAAAATACATTTACTTGTGGTTTTCATTTAGAAAACACAGAGAAAAAAATTAATGAGTCTCAATGTCTAAAACTGAGCCCAGGTACTACAGCCCATTAGTTTAATGACCTTTGCAGCACACTGTTTGCAAGGCTTTCTCTGTGTTTCTACAAAAATAGTTGTATAGCCACTGGGTCATGTTTAGGGGCAGGCAAGAAGCTCTAGCTAGCCTCGTCAGTCTCCTCATCGGTTTCATGGGCTCATTATGGCCACCAGCTGTTGAATATTAATATACTTTTATCTCTGTCAACTTGGAGACAAATACATTTCCTCCTCAGCCCCTTTGTCACTCCCTTCATCTCCTGCATCATCATTACCAGTATGGCAAAAACACAGTGAGGAAAAATGCTGAAAAAACACATAGCTGAATAGCCTAAACCTCTAGAAACAGGCAACCTTAACTTTCTCACCAGTCTTTTAGAAGCAGTGAAGAGAATTGCTAATTGGTTTTCTTGGGTATATGCCAGAGAGACAGACTGCTTCAAAATGGTAACTTACTGACCTTTTCATGGGTACAAGATTATTTATCTGGCTCTCATTAGGGAGACCTGTGGCATAGTCTCCTTAATAATGTAGTGATGGCTTTTCAAACTCATTTTCTTTCCAAAATTAGTTCTCATATATGATCTGTGTCCTTTGGTTTATTTTTGAGGGGTGTCCATGTCCTGTATTAAGCAATCTCAGCTTACAATACAAAGATTTGAATGTGACACTCCTTTCAGGTTAATTTTGAGAGCATACAGCTGAATTGTTAGAGGGGAAGGAAGATGTAGGTCCCAAAACTACAGGTTTTGCCTGCAGAAGGAGCAGAACCCAACTCCAAAGTCTAACAGCAACTTGTACCTGTCTGGTGCTCCCTAAACACAAATCTGCATTTGCTGCAGGTGCAGCCAACCCCATAGTTGGGTTCCTGACCATTTTCTTGGAACTGACTTTTCAATAAAAAGAAGTGATGCTCCACTCCTTCCTTTGGCGTGGCATCCTCACAGTTAAAGACCTTTCCCCAGGAGTGGGGGCTGCAGATTTAAGAAGCCTGGGATGCCTGCATCAGAGGAATGTCCCGCTGCAATCAGGCTCACAAGCACCATCAAGTGACCAGTGTGACACAAAGATAATGCTTCCTGAGTGAAGTTGTGTTTATCTCTGCCTACCTTGAGTTTGCAATTTAGCAAATACCCACAGTAAATTGATGAGGTAAACTGCGTTCCCAGATTGGTCAGAATAGCTCCTACAATTTGGCACAAAAAACCCCGGATGAGTTGCTATATCTGGAGATAAGCAGCCAGAATCTTCCAGGAATTAGTTTCTGAAACTTTTTTTTTCTCTGTTGATTGTGGTGCTCTGTTTTCTTAAGTGCTGACTCTAGTAAGCCTTTTCAGAAAGACAATTAATACCTTGGAAAGCAGCCATCAGCAGTCTGAAAAAAAAAAAAATCTCGCCAAGCTGTTTATGCATGGCAAGGGGGGATTCGGTTATAACACAGATTAAAGAGGACACTTGTTTAAAGTGAGGTTACTAAGGATGTATACATTGTATGGTAAATATATTGACAAAGCTGTCCTGCAGGAAAGATACTCAGTAAATTGGATTATCTACATTCTAAAAAGATTATCCACTTAAAGGCCTCTGGAGATTTGCTGGTGGAACAAAAAGAGAGAGAAGATCTAGGCTGCAGTCTAGCTAAATATTTTTTCAGTTGTTTTTTCTGTGTTTAATTAAAAGAACATCCTCTCCTGCTCCTAATCACCATTCTGTGTCTCTGTGCAATCAGTGCCTTGTACCACCTGTAGATTTACTTCAATATGGAATGATTTGTCAAAGATGCTTTCCTCTTCATTTCATGCTGCTCAGTTGACACCAGTGAAAATTGAGCCCTGAACACTTTGGAATTACTGGAAAGATCAGAACTAACCCAAGGCATTGGGGATGTTTTTTCTCCCACGTGTGGTGAAAGCCCTGATAACCAATGTGGAATTTTGATATGCTGGGATTAAGTTGCCCTTGGGAGCAGTGTTTGAATAGCAGATGCTAGAGCCCTGTCACCTTTCATTGCTGCACCATGAGGACTGAGATTTTCTTGGGAAAGGACTGTAGAAAGAAAAGCTTCTTATGTCTTCACTGCCCTGCAGTAGCCACACACTGCTTGGCAGCAGTCTCCTCCTTCATTTTCCTGCTAAGGGAAATGTATGCCATAATTTGTGTTTAAAAGGGGCTTGTAAAATAGGATTGCGCGAATTTTTAGCATATGACTCATTTAAAATTAAAGGCAGCTTTCCACTAAAACCCTGTATATCTCCAATAATTTAGAGAGTGTATTTTAAAATATTGTAAGAGGGAGCTACAGGTTCTTCTCCTATTGCTTCTAATTTTTTTCAGCAAAGTCCTTTCATGAAGTGTAAGTGCAGAGATGTTTTATGTAACAAGGGCTTTGTATAGCCCACCTGCTTCATTAATCATGCTTTCTATTTAACTGTATGACATAGTTTTTCACAGGCATTTTTGTGGAGCTTTCTTGGTCACACGTGATAGCTGGTTTTTTTTTAAGTTAATGCAATGTCATACCACTCTGAATCCTAAGATGAAACAGTCTTGACATTCCAGCAACTTTCCCAAATTGACTTCTTGAATATTCACTAATACTACTTTAATTTTTCCCTACATATGAACTATTGCTTTCTGTTACAAGATGAGACAGATCAAAGTTGGCTTTTCAGCATCTGAGGATACCCAGATACAATCTCAGGGAGCTCAGAGCAGTACTTATGCAAGTGAATGACTTTTTTTATGGACTTATGTATCACCCTGAGTTCCCAAATGTAGGATTTGGTTGTCACATGGAGGAGTTTCAGTTTCAGTTCAAATTACGAAACCTGAAAGACTGCAACTCTCCTGAAGCAATCTAGGTTAATAAAAAAACATCATATGAACAATGTTACCTTTCTCCAGTCTCAAGCAGTCCTTTGATCAGAATTCAGCTATTCAGGAATGATTCTGTTTAAAAAAAAAAAAAAAAAAGGAAAAAAAATCCGATCTAATAATACTAATAATAAAAGAATGTTGTCCTAAGTGCCAGGATAAAAAAACCCTTACATATCCTGTGTTCTTTAAGAAACCAATATTCTCAGTGAAAGGTTACCTTCTTTACCATCTCATATATCAAAAAAACAAAGATATAATCAAACTTTCAGGAATCCACATTTTCTCTTTGTTTGGTGGGGTAAACATGAGACTTTTTGGTGTCTGGAAAAAGCTCCCAAATGTTCAGAGGCCAGTCCAGTCCAACTCCTCCCTCCAGCACTGAGCCCTCCTTCCAGCCATCAGCAGCCACTAGTCATCTCCTGCTGCAATGCGCCATCACATTTTTCCTCACCTTGCCGCTGCTCTGGATAACAAAATTTGACTGAATTAGCTGTGGTCCATCTCTCTGGATACCTGTGACCTCAGTGGCTGTGAGCACAGGGTTGTCCTTCAGAATCAGCAGTTCTGGGGTGGTGTTTCACAGACAGGAGCCACAGTGCAGAGGCCAGTGATGGTCAGTGCAGAGGGAGGGTGCAGGTGTCTAAGGACAGAGGCTTGGCTCCATTTCCAGCTGCACAAACTGCTGAAATGTCCCCACAGTTTTGGCTCCGCACTATCAAAGGTCCTGGGGAGTAAAATGTCTTAATTCTGCCCTATTTCCACCAATTAATTGTCCCTGGAATTAATGTGTCCTCTATTATAGTAGAAGGTAAAAATTGTGGTAGGTCGATACTTTTGTCTTAAAACATCTACTGTGGAAAAAATTATCCTGGGTCAGTACAGTTGGAATATGTTGGGAAATTAATATGGACAATTTACTGAGATCATCAGGAGGGACTGTGTTGTGATCCAAGGTAGGATTTCTCCCTTTAACTCTATCGGCAGAATTCAGCTTGTATTTTGGACTAAAACCTTTTTAAATTACAATGTCAAGTTTCCTGCTGGGAAACCCCACTTTTCTGGCTAAACTCTGCCTTTTGTGACAACTATTTTAAGTCAAATGTTGTCTCTCCTCCATTAATTGCTGCCTTCTTTCCAGGGCAGACTGAATAATCTTCATCTTCTCTTCCCCTTAGGTTAATATCAAACACTGGCCTTCGGTTTTTACCTGTTGTCCACAAGGTTCACTCTTTCCAGAAAGTTTTGCTGTAAGTTTGAAAGTTTGCTTTTCACTTTTTGAAAGCTGCCCTTGAGTGTTCTTCTGCTCCAGCAAAGCCTTTCAAGACATGATTCCCCATGTGTTCATTTGTTAGCTCCGCAGTGGCGTGTTGATTGTGATTTTGCAGGCATTAATGGTCAGAAGGTCTCAGTTCTCTCCAGGTTTCCCTTCTACAAAGCACTGGAACTTGCACTTTACAGACCACTCGTAACTGCAGTGTGAGCACGTGTCTGGGTGGCCCAGGGGACAGGTAACAGCCTTTGACTCCTCTTTTAGAAGCTGAAATCCAAACCAGGATGGTGGCAGTGGAAATTTGTTGCCCCCTGGTGAAAATTTTCTGACCTGCATGGGAAGAGTCACTGATCTCAGAGCTGAGTTCCATCAGAAGTGGCCACACCACAAAGAAAAGAAAAATAACAACAACAACAGCAAACCACACCAAAACCCAAACTCTGGGGATTATCTATCATACCCTTTTCCATTTTCCTCTGTCAGTAAAACTGTCCAGAAAATTAAAAATTTTTAATATGGAAAACTCCAGTGCTAACAAGGAAAAAAATATTTGTGCAAAATTTTGTGTGAAAACAGGCTGTTAATTTCCTAAAGTACTTCTTCTGCAGAAAAAAATGCATATCAGAAAAACTTGGTTTCTTTTCCACTGAAAAATATTTTGACATACATTTCTCAGTCAGTTCTTAGTATAACTGAAAACATTCTTTAGGACAAGATTTATTGTTAATTCACATGCAAAGTTCTGCATCTTCAGATGTTTGATTAAAAGATTTCAACCTGCAGAAACATTAATCCTGCAATTATTAATGGCTATCTTAGTAATACGCATTAATATCAATAAAAATGCATATAAAATATAGAGGGGATGACTGAATATAGTATACAGACATGTAAGATAAGGAATACACATTTGATGTGTGTAATTCTGAGAACTTGAGTTCATTGCTCCTCAAAACCATCAAGGAAATGCAACAGCTATGGCACTATAGAGACTTTCACCTGTACACCTTTGTGCTTATCATCATTCTTAACTAGACAGGAATTACTGTATCCTGTACCAGCAAGAGCTTTTAATTTTTTTGGTGCAGCTCCTCACTTCCCTGTAAGAATAAATAGACCTTGAGTCCCAAAGTAGACCTCAGCTCAAACCTTGCACCCTCTGAGGTCAATAAGAGAATTCCCCTTGGCTTCAGCTGTGCCAATATTTATGTTCCAAAGACAGGTCTTGAAATTTTATAAAGGGCAGAGCTTTAGTAGAGGGATGCAGTTCACTTGCATGGGTGCTGTGTTCCCTCCCTATTCCTGCCCCTGCTGCCCTCAGTTTGCTGAATGAAGCTTCTGTGTAAGTGTCACTCTGTGCAGAGTTGTGGCTGTGTGGAGCTGTCAGCATGAGATCATTTTGGAACCGCACTTAATTTCAAGCTTTGCAGATAATTAATTTTGTTCCGTGCTTTCCAACAGAAACAGCATGGAAACAGCAATATCCCCAGTCTAAATTATGAGTAACACTATTTAACTTTTCTGAGGCTTATATTGAGCCAGCAACAGAACATTCCTTTTTTTTTTTTTTTTTTTTTTTTTTTTGTATCAGTCACAGCTGAGGAAAGACAGAAATTCTTACTTGTCCATTCAACAAATTGCACTGACAGGGGTCCTGCATTTAAGTTCTTAAGCACATACAAAGCTTATAAGCAACCCTGTTGACATCAGCTGGGGAATGATTCATGGGCTGGTAGGTACCCTGCTGAATCAGGCCAAAAAGGCTAATGGCTTTCCTCCTTCTGTTTGGGAGGCTGGGAGAAGGGGTGGCCTTGCAGCCCCTCCAATTGCATTTTCTGGGGAGTATGTTTGCTGGAGGAACTATTTCATCCACCTCAGAGTTATATACCTGAGCTTATATGCATTTTAATGTCTTCAGCCTATTTGGGGGGAAAGTATGGGGGTGTTGGGAATGTTTTGCTCCGGCCTTTTTTATCAGGAAGGTTTGTGCTCTGCAGGAGAAAAATGTCTTGGAAACTTTGGTTATTACCCTCTGTCTGTAGTACTTCCTCAGACTGAATATAAGGAAAAAATACTGTGTTTGAAGCAGCAGATTGTATTGAAAGGCACATAGAAGTACAAAAAGGTGTAGTTTCTATTATATTTTATTTTTCAGAGATATTCAAGACAATATCAATATACGTACAATTGAAAGAAATTCATTCATGGGCCTGAGTTCTGAAAGTGTGATTCTGTGAGTAAACATAGCAAATTCATTATTCTCCTTGTTAGCTCATTTCTTTTCCAGAACAGGGTCAAGGATAGCAGGAGTTGGGCACTTTTTCATACACTTCCAAATTCAATTTGTGATTTTACATCTCTCCTTGCCCCTGAGATCTCTGTATTCTGTTTCCCTGCCATGAAACAAATTAATGCTTTTGGGGTTTTTTTGTTGTGTTCTATTCCTGCTCTTTATTTTAGAAGCACATCAGAGAGTGAATTTAGTAATTACCAATGCCAAGGTTAAACACCTACAGCTACAGTTCCCTGTGATACAAATTGTGTTCAAAAGGACGGCACGACTCATAAATATTTACAGTCAGACACATCACTCAAAGATATTTATTACTTGGGCAGAATGTATGAAGATGTTGTGGAAATGTGGTTTCTTTGTACACAATGTTAATGCATTGGTATGAGTGGGTTCACAATGCAGTTTGGAGCTGCATGGTTAGCTGGCTCTACATTTGATTTGAACAGCCGTGTATTTTAATGAGCTAGCTGGCTTCTTTGATCCTTTCTCTCTGTATATCAAAACATACTGTTTGCTTGCTAACAAGCTGCCTTCCTTTCACTTAGCCAGTGGCCAGACTGGAAAAAATTCCCACCATGTGGTTTACCTGGCACACTGAGAGAGAAAAGCGAGGTTTGAATTGACTGAGCTCACGTCGATTCTGGGGGGAGCAAGGTCAGACCATCAATAATGAAGAGAAGCCAGTAACAAGTCATTTGGCTTTATCTCTCCCTTTTCCCTATCAGTTATGCACAAGCTCTCTGTACTTTTCTGAAGTTTTAAACACACACACACACATACACACAGAGACTTTTCTCAAGTATATATTTCCAAAGCACTGCACAAAAGGCCAGTTTGGATGGAGCTTTGTGCAGGCTGGTCTAGTGGAAGGTGTTGCTGTCCATGGCAGGGGGTTTGGAACTGAGTGATATTTAAGGTCCCTTCCAGCCCAAATTTTCTATGATTCTGTGATTGTCACAGGCTCCCCACACCCACCAGCATGTGCAGGAGCAGCAAGAGCTGTGTCAGCAGACCTGGCCTCCAGCACCCTGATCAGGCAGTGTCCTAACTTTACTCTTTTTGGGTAAATTTGGGACATAGGCCCTGCATCCACCCTTTGAGAGCACCTGATTGGGTTTTCCTTGTGCTGTGGTGAACTTAGTTCATTTTAGGCACAAATATGCCATTTTTTATACAAAACTGAAGTCCCAAAAACTCAACAGAGTCACAGCAACATCATTTAGTGAAAGCATTTATCAAGATGATTAAAATCACCCAGGATCCACTGAACCCCCACATTCTAGGGAGAAACCATTTTAATAGGCTTAGCTATGGAAGGCTCCAAGCATATTTCCACCAGTAATTTAGATTACATTTGATCTTCTGCTATGTATGGGATCAGCACAGGTGGGAACTGAGGAGACATTTGGTAATGAAGTGGTAGAAATCTGTGGAAGAAATCCACCTTGCTTCCAGGTCTGCATGCACCTTAGGCTCTAAGATAGACCTTTCCAGTCCTGAAATAGGGTGTAAATTCCTGTTCCTCAGGGACAGTGACCTCTTGCACTGGGTGAATTTTAGAGTTTTAAAAATCTGCTCTAGCCATGAAATGATAAGGAAGAGCCCCCACGTCCAAGCTGTGCTCTCTGCCTCCATTGTCACCTTGCTAATGTAAGAGTTAGTGGAGTCAGAAAGGATGCTGATTGAAGTGAGATGAGAATTTGCCTCAACAGGAATTCATCTATGGGTACTATAATGAGGTCTCAGGATTTGGGTAAATTTTTTTTTGCTCATTTTACTACTCAGATGCTGTTAGCCAGGTGACAGGAGTATATAGTCCACACTGTGTGGCTACAGTGACTGTTTTACAACCTTAGTATCTCATTGCATTAACATCATGTTCAGTGAGAGAATGCAGCAAGTGCTAATAGTGTGATTAAGAACGTATCTATCAGCCTGGCAGCTACAAATTTATAAGATCAATGTAATATAATAAACGTTTCAAATGCTGTAAGCAGGGACCTGTCTCTCCTCCGTGCCTGCTCACTCATGTCTAATAGTGCTGGCAAGTGAAGGGGACGGTGACAGTTCTCCTGATCCAGCCTGACAGACATTATAGACACAGAGCTATGTGCATCTGCCTGTCATGGTCAAAAGAGCAATCCTTTCAGCCAGACCCATGACTGATTTCCATGCTGACCTCAGCTCACCACCTCAGACCTCAGATAAGTGGGTCACTTGTATGCTCAGCTTTCAAAGTGAATTAGAAAAGAGTCCAGGTTTGCTGACAGTTTAATTAAATCAGGCCATTTCTGCCATCAATCAGACCTGTCATTGCCTGTTGGAGAGGGCGTGAGCTGCGAAGTGACGTTTAAGGCGAGATGAAAGATTGCACCATAAAGATGATAAATATAACTGACCTAAATGTAAATTTTTAGCACCTGAAGGGACAGAAGGAAGGTCGTTAAACCTTAATTAGGTAATGCACCAGAGTAAAAGCTTGGCAGAGAGCCCCAGCAGCTTCAATTGCCAGGTTCACTCCTGTGGCCTCCCCCTGGGGTAAAGGAGCCTGGGGAGGAAGGACTGGGCAGCAGAGCAGACAGGGAGTGTAATTTGTCAAGGCAGTGGTGTAGGAGGAATCACCTGCTTTCTGGGCAGTTTGGCTGCCCCCTCCTGCCCTCCTGTCTGGCTCAATGGCTATCAGCCCCTTCTCCTCCACCTGCCTGGCTGTGGATGTCAGCCTATGGCACACAGCAGGCTTTTTTCCCTAATAACTGGCAAAGGTGAAGCCGTGGCCCAGCATTTCAAAAGCATCTTGCTATGAGCAAAGCTGAGTAGCACTGACAGCACCAACAGGAAAGGTTCTGGTCTCCCTGGCTCCTCTGCTGCCTTCCCAGTGGAGCCACGAGCAGTGCCAGCATCTTCAGCAGCTCTGCCCTTACTTCAGTACTCCAGCTGCCATCTCTGACGGTAGCACTCATCCACCCTATTCATGTCTTCCCCCTCCAAAGCCTTCCTCCACTACTGGGGTCTTACAGGCTAGGATTTGCAGAAATTTCACCATTTCGATGTCCATTTAAAGATTTTATGTGTTTGAGGTTCCCTGTTTTGAATTGCATACATTTTAGTCATGAAGCATAAATAAGAGCACAACTCTCTTTTCCTTTTCTCTGTTGCAGATGGCTCAATAAAAATGGAATTCAAGACATCGAGGATCATGCATTTAATGGAACATACCTGGATGAGCTGTAACTATTTCTGTTGTTTGCAATTCTGAAAAATGAAGATAGTAACTTCTGCGAGTTTTTTTTTTTTTAGTCTCAGATTGTTTCATCATAAAATATTGTGTTTTTCAGAAATGTAAGTGATAATCACAACCTAGAAAAATTACCAAATGAGGTCTTCCAGGGAGCCAATGGACCCATTGTTTTGTAAGTAGTAGTTGGATAACATTTTTCTCATTACTGACTCCTTAGAAAAGATCAGAAAAGAACATATGAAGACCAGTCTGGATTTCAAAGTCTTGCAAACCTTGGAGGTCAAGACCAATGGTCTAGTTCTGAATTTAAAAAAGGAAGCCATGACTGAAATTTCAGTCTGGGACTTTATTTTCACTTTGTCCTCAAGTTTTTGAGAGTATTGAAGGTGAGAGATTTAGATCCAGGTTCTTCTCCGCAGTTTATTAAACTGTGTAAGAGAGGAGTCATTCTGATTTTTTTCCATTAAAAAAAAATGCTTTTAGTTTTCTGTTTGAGCTAAATCAAGACTGGGTGAGTGGTTCTTAGTGCTGAAATCTGAATTACTTGCCACTGAAGATCTGCCCCTGCAGCTATGCAGCTTAATTCTGAAGCAAAATTCCCATCCTGCAGGGATGGGGATTGGGATAGGTATGAGATACATCCCACACAGTTACAGCAGGATGTCCTTGGTGGGTGATGAGCTGGGAATCGAGAACTCAGCAGTAGAAAAATCAGCAGTAGAAAGCTCATGAATCTCAGCCACCATTACCTCAAGGCACAGTTTGCCATAGGCTCCAAAAATACATGAGTTTGCACAGCTGCCTGTGTTTCTGAGCACAAGGCACCATGTAAGGGCTGCAAGAGAGATGTGAGGTTCTTTTTTCATCTCATTGATTCATTGGAACCTTTCTCTCTTTGCATCTATCTGGTTGTCCAGAAAGGGCTAAAAGTCACCCCAAACAAGTGAGAGGGATCATTGGTGCTGTTGGAATATTTTGCACAGATGCTAGAGTGGTTACAAATCTGAAAAGGAGGGAGAAAAAATGTCTGATTAATCTTAAGTTGAATCCAGAGCTCTTCTGAAGGCCTCATTTTCCACTGTGTGATGGTCAATGCACCTATGATATAAAGAGTTGGGCTTACTGCATTCTGCTCCACTTCGATTGTTTCTTCAAACCATCTTCTTTTTTTTGGAAAAGACTGACACTGGAGCATCTTTGAACCAGTAATGTCATAGGTGTTTCTTTGGGAAATCATTGTTTCCTATAGCAAAAAGTAAGTGCATTTTCTTTGCAGGCTATGCTTGATACAATCATATTCTGGAGGTTTATCAAATTGATTTGCCTGTAGTTGAGATTCATTTGATAGTTCAATTTCTAACACTGAATTATTTGTGTAAAAAGTTTTCTGTTCCATTACCAATACACCCCCTATTCTGTGGATGGGAAATTACCTTTTTATCCTGGATGAAATCATGAAAGAAGAGCCTTCTTACTCATCCATCACCAGGGATGTGCTTTCACTTGTGGAAATGATTGACCCATAATCATATCTTTGCTGGGACAAATCATATTTTTGCTGTTGCTGCAATCAAATCTGTGTTGCAGACTGCAGTGTTCTAATAGAATGAATATCAAGGTGGTTTAACTCTTGATCTTCCTGAACCAGTGTTAAGGAGTCAATTAATGCCAACTTCTGTTTTATAAATCATCATATTAAAGTAATGTGAAAGAAACACAAACACAAATAGACAGCACCAATCACAGGCCTTGTGCAGGCTACAGAGTTTCACAAATTATTTCCTCTCTCAGACTTACTGCTCTTGGCTGAATTAGAATTTCTCTTTGGGAAAGGTTTTGAGTTAAAGGATTTCAGCATTGACAGTAGACCAGTGAGTCAAATAGCTAATAAATCCCACAACTATACATGTTCCTTCCATACAGATATACACTCTGTTTCCAACCTGGAGTTTCATAGCTTCAGTTTTCATCTGCACTGTTTCATTTAATTGTCTGCTGCTCCTCTCAGAGCTGTAGTGGCTTGCGCCAGCCTTTGCTGGTGTCCTTAGTTCTCTGGCTGTGTCCTGGCTCAGTGCAGAGCGAGGCATGGCTGTGGCCCATCCCACCCTTTCAATTTTTCTTCATTGGTAATCCCACACATGGAGGCTGCAGGAGAGCTCCAGCAGATCCCCAGCTCCACCGATGAGCCCCTGAAGTGCAGCCAGAGATCAGTTTAGATACAAGCACGAAGAAAATTGTTCTCTCCAGTCCGCCTATCCTGCTCTGATTTCTGCTCCAGGAGCTATTTTTTGCCATTTCTGTAGGTGTCTTTCAGACCTCATCAGCTGGTCAGTACTTCTGCTAATCCAACAGAGACTCCCAGTGGGAAAGGGAAGTGATTGGAAGAGAAGGTAGATTCATTTTGCTGTTCCTGCACCGGCTGCTGTTAAGGCTGATGACTCACGGCCAAGCAACAGTAACACAAGAACACGTATTTCAATTGCTGATGCCTTCTGGTTTGATTTCCTACTGCCACGTTATAATCTTATTCATCAGGCTTATTTAATTTATCAAGCCTCTAACTAGAGAACAGCATCCCAAAGAACCTCTGTGCTGAAGTGTGTGTGGTAACTCAGCAGAGTAATTTACCAAACCACCTGCACAATGTCTGTGTTTGCTTTTCAGTGGTGTATCCATAGCCATCCCTCACAGACATACTGAAAGAAACCCCACAGGGGTGTGCAAAGCACTTTCTCTAAATCATTTCTGTTTATGTGTGATAATGAGCATAAAAAGAAAAGTTTCTTAAATAAGAAGTAACAATTTTTTGTGGAAAAACAATTTAATATCTTTGAAACTATTTAGAGATAATGAAAGATTTGGAAAACTTTTAGATATTTTTAAGTGCTATTCGTATTTATTTCCACACAGTGTAAAATCAGTTTGGATGCAGTAATGCTTTTTAGCTAACAAGACAAAGAAAACATTTTTTTTTTCCTGTGCTCTTGTTCAGAACTATGAAGTTACACATCCTCTTAATGATGCCATGAGAGATGCTGGCTGTGGATTTAAGCAGAAACCTGCTGTTTAGTTTTTGACTCATGAGCACACACTCTGGGTGACAGTTTTCATTAGGCAGAGCACTGAGGGCAGTAGTCAGCACGAGTGAAAATTGAGGCTGCTCATTGCAGCCTAATCACCTCTTCAAGCATCCAAGGTAGAAATCGATGGCCCAAAATTTCTCATCAGCTGCCAGGTTTAGCTCCTGTAGAAACAAGCCCAGGACCTCAGGACCTCTTCTGTGAGAGGTGTGGCTTCTCTCAGCCTGCCCTGCAGAAGTTCACAGCACTTTGGCATACCCCAGTCTGTCTTCTGTAAAAGTCACAGTCCCCGCTGGGGCAGTGGAGTGGAGTTTGTGTTTGCTCCCCTGCTGCCACAGCCCATTGTCCAGTTGTTGAAGGTGGCACATTTCTTCAGAGCCTGCTTGTAAAGCCTCAGCTGTGGGCACAGCATGGGCACAAAGATCATCTCCACCAATTTTACAAACTGCTTTATCATCTGCCTCTGAACTTCTTAGGCTTGGCTGGTGCTCAAACAGAGCCCTCTCCTGGTATTAATTTTGCTTTCTAGACCAGAGAACAGAGGTGCAAATGTGTGTGTGGTACATAGCAACTGTCTAAACTTTATTAAATGCTGCTAAAACCTGGTCTCCCCCTCACATGGCACCACTGTCCTGTATTAATGCAATAATAAAAACAGTTTGTGCATGTTGGGTAATAGAGATCAAATAATGTGTCCTGACATCACACTGTCAAAGATGAACTGGAAACTGTACCTTTGAGGGGACATGGAGAAAACTGCAAATATTGTCAGTCCAGTTCCTTGATTAGGAAGAAATCTTTTCTTTTCTTGGAGAATAAGGAGCAGAGCAGCCTCAGCAAACATTGCTTCCTGGATCAGTCTCAGGCTGTGAGAGAGCACAGGGCTTAAAGGAGGAAGAGTGATTTTGTGCAATTCACTTTTACCTTTGCTCTTCAGAAAAAGGAGTTGATCTCAGGCTGTCATGATCTGAGAGACATGGCTTGTGTCCCAGTAAGGGAAATGCAGAGATGTTTTGCCCAAGCTCCTACAGTCTTGGAGCTATGGGGATGGATTCCCAAGTATCTCTTAGCCTGGAGATGGAGCACCCTTGGTCCTTCTTCCCTTTCTTCACTTGCGTGGCACAAGTCAAGATTAAGTGTATGCAGAACATGTTTCCTTTTAACAGGAATGCTCTCTTTAGTTCATTGATGGCTGCTGATTCCATCACTGCCTCTGATAGCCTGTCCCACAGCAATTGCCTTCCACATAAACACATCTCTCCCAACCTCCTGCAGTCGTGCCCCTTTCTTTGCTTCAGTCTCTGCTATATTTGTTTTTTAAACATCCAGGAAGGTTTTGTTGGGATTTTTTTGTTCCTAACAGCCTGAACAATGCCACCCCTGTCTCTCTTTAATGTTTTTCTTCCTAATGAGTACAAAATCTGATATCCCCAACCTGTACCCACATGTGAGCTTCTCTCTTTGTGTTTATTGCCTTTTCCACAGCAGCCTTCCCATGATGTGATGTTCATATAGCAAACTTCTATTGTGATTTCATCAGCCTTTTCTTTTTTCCTTTAGCAGTATTATGGGATGATTGCTGCAGTTTCTGGGTATTTACTAAACCCAGCATCATATTGCAGTAATAGTTGATATGCCTGCTAATTTTTATTCAGAACATTATGAGATTTTTTTCTTTTGTTCTTACAGACTAACATCACTTGATTGTTGTTTGCAGTGGATATTAGCTCAGTTTGCTGGAGGAACAGTCACTTTAGCACTGGATCATCTTTTCAGTATAGATTTCCAGCTGATCTGTTTCAGTCACTACTCTGAGAATGAGTAGGACAGTCTAAAACACATATGCATTGTTGAGCAGTAAATTTGCTTTTTACCAAGATTTTCATATGTTTTCTTAAAGGGATATTTCCAGCACGAAAATCAGTTTCCTGCCAAGTCATGGATTAGAACTCATTAAGAAGCTAAGAGCAAGGTCTACATACAATTTAAAAAAGCTTCCTGACTTAAGCAAATTTAGATCTTTGATTGAGGCAAACTTCACCTATCCTAGCCATTGCTGTGCATTTACAAACTGGAAAAGACAAAAGTAAGTGATTTCATTTGCTTTTCTTTCTGGTGCTTTTCAGCAGTTGATAGTGAATTAAATAAAACTCCTCAAAATGTGGATAGAAAAGGTCTCTTCAGTGCAGGTAAGTAAATGGATGGAAATAAATGAATACACAACACATACAGGTTTATGCATGCTACACAGTGCAGTGCCTCTCCATTGCAGGGAATTATTAAATTTCGATAGCATCAGCACTTTCCCCAGACACAGCTCTGCCCTCACCTCTCATAAACCCATCTTTCACTGGGACCAGTCTGGAGCCACACCGAAGACATTAACCAGGAAACAACTGATAACTCTTTCAGAAGGTAACTGGAGGGGGAAGGCTATGTTTGCAGAGAAGCTGGTCAACACTTGTTCATCAGTCCAGGAGGGCAACAGGAGCACTGAGTGATCCCAAACTCTTCTTTCAGAAAGCCTCATTGATGTTGGAGCCCTGCCCAGCCAAGCATTACAGATCTGTTGAGTTCATATTCACAGCAATTTGGGACATTTTTTCTGAGCAGATCCATTTCACACAAATCAACAAAGCAGGGTGGGAGGCTAAGGTGCCTTTTTAGACTCCAAAGGCAATTTTCCATGCTGGTTTTAATTTTCCATTACCAAGTTGCAGTGAGGCTTTAGGTATCAGTGATTCTCATTGAGTATTTTCACCTCAGTCATACAGTCTTGAAATGTTCACATTTAGTAGTTAATGAACCTCTTGAATCTGCGCCACTGGAAAACATGAGGAACTGATACCTACAAAAACCCTTGGTATTGTCTGAAATTCTTCCTTTACTAATGTCCTGAAAGGCTTGGTCTTTGCCATAAGAGAAAAAAATTATGAATCATTGTTACAATTCTAGACATCATCTTCAGAAGTGGCATAAAACTTCAAAGAAAAGTAAAACCATGCTGAGAGAGCATAAACTCTTAGTAGCTTCTATTTCAATACCCTTTAATAGCCCTTTATTTTACTTTTAGCACTGTATTATCTCCAGACAAGGGAAGCTAACTGAGTTTGCTGATAGCTAATAAATATCATCTACATGTGTTTACAAAACTGTGTAAAGAGTGCAAGTGTGATGGTGGAGACTGTAGTGATGACGGAAGTATCTGACAGAATCCATTCCCCATCACCCATTTTTGATCCAAAATGCTAAATTTTCACTAGAACAGTTGATCAGCAGGCAACATTTTCACACACTTGTGCAGTCTCATGCAGACACAGTGCCTGGTGGCTTCTAAGCAGAAATGGGTCCAGCCCTTCCAGAACTGGTGGCAAAGTGTTATTTTCCAAAGAGTCCAGTGAAAGAGTTTTTAGTTCTGGATCTGCAAAGGAGCACTGATATCACTATGATTCATATTTTCGAAGGTATTTTGTTTCTGGGCTGCTTGGGCCTAATCAGGACCCAAATCCCAGAATTCACCCCTTAAATTAGGCAATTGGACTTTTCAAAAACAAAGGGTTGCTATTGAAGGGAAGCTACGGAAGGAAAAAGTCCTCACCCTGTGGTAAGCTCTCAGTATCTAGGCCCCTCATTTGGGCTTTGAAAAACTTGCATGCCACACACTCACTACACAAAATTGAAGTCCACAGCACTCACTTCCCCCTTAGTACAGCCCCACTTTTGGAAGCCTTTCCCTGTCTAGCAAGAAGGCAAGGAGAACATAAGAGCCCTTTCCACAGCCTGGGTAAGTGTAATTTTGCAAAGAAATGCCAAGAAACCTGTGAAGAGCTCACATAGCCCCAGTGCAGATGTTGGAGGCTGGGCTGGAACACCATGCCATGGTGGGGCTGCTTCTGGAGCAAGTCTGGTCACAACTCTACCTCCCTGGTCAACAGAACAAAACTGAACATATTTATCCATGCCTTTAAGAGTTACCATATGTATTTTCTACCAAACATAAATGCAAAATTATGAGTACCTATTACTTAGATGAACCCTTCCTGTCAGCTTCTTTTTAACATAATTAAAAATTGTCATTTCTTTCATACAGTCATGTCTCTTGTAGTGAAATTGGTGTGAAACTGAGCTCCTGTCTCCAGAATAAAGAGAGAAAGTGGATGCATGTGTTTGGTTTGAAGACTGAAAGTATTACCATACACTTCAGCAGAGATTAGTCACACATACAGTAGCTACACCCTCTTTCATTTCAAAGCACTTTTCGTGACAGCTGGCACAAGCTCCATGTGCACTGAAGGCTGCTCAGGCTGTTTAGAAGTTATTAATAGTTTGCATAGTGCTTGATCACACAATGTATAATATTCCTTTGGTGGGTGCTTGGCTCAGAGCAGCAGGCATTGCTTGTGGTGGTGGGAACCCTGGTGTGACCTGGCTTGTCGTGCATCTTCACAGGAGACAGCCATTCCTTGTGGCCATCCGGCTCACAAAATACTTCCAGGTAGTCTGGGGAGTACATAAATGATGCCCTATTACCCCCAGAAGTGCATTTCTAAGGATCACAGCAGCAGCTGGTGTTCACATGACAACTCTGGGAAGGAATTAAGACAGGGATGTGCAGACCCTTTCTGGCTGTCCATTCATGTTTGATTTCCCCTTTTTGAGATTTTGCAGCATTCAAATCCCTAGATAAAATAAGTTACTGTAGTGGGTCATGCTCAATCACCTCTCCAAAAACTGTCTGCAGCAGCTAACAGGTGCTGTTGTGATAATGGAAAGCTTAAACCTGTTACAGCAACAGTGCTTTCTTTGCTTTCTTTGGAGGATGCCACATCAAGCACAGTTCTGCCAGCCTAAGAAACACAATTAAAACATAAGACAGTTTTGATTTTTTTTAATCATTCCAGTAAGGATTTCATGCTAAATATTGATCTGTAGTTTGAATAATGTGGTGCTGGCCTAAGAAAAGTTAAGCTGCATTCTTAAGACAAGTCTAATACAGTATGTTGAACTCCCCTCACGTTTTTCTGTGACTGGAAAATAATATCCTTGAAGTATGCATAGGGCAGAGGCCGGATGTTAAAACAATCAACTTGACATAGTCCATTACAAACTTCAGCAAGATTTTGGCTTTCTTTGACATAAAGATCACCTTCTGCCCAAAAGCATGCCATTGATATGACTCTGTCCTTACACTTGATCGTTATTCTTTGGAGGAGCTGTCACTTGAAATCCTATTTTTTCAAAAAATGTGGCAGCAGCAGGAATGTGGTGTTTGGGCCTCGTGTCACAAGAACATACTATCAGTCGCTCACAACTCACTTAATAGCACTTTCTGGTGAGGATGATTGGCTTGAGATAGGACTTATTACAGAGCACAGGTCAAGACTATTTATTCTGCTGAGCATGTTTCTCAGCACACAAGATCCTGCTGCCAGCAGATCCAGACAAGGCGCATAAAATAACAACTTAAATAACAACTTGAACAAAGGTAGTAATTTTTGTTTATTTTTGTCAGACACTCTGCCAATTTCAATTTTGTTCTATAAGTTGCCCTTTCTGCAGTTTATTTTTCTAGTTTACTTGAACAAAATAATGTTAAAAAGTAAGGAAAATTTACAAAGAGAGGGAATGAATTAACTGTATTATGACACCCAGTCACAACAGGAAGCAAGGACCCACACATCCCTTGGGAAATAATGTTTTAACTTGTTGCTCTGAGTGCACTGCACAGCCCAAAAGGTGAGAAACAGAGGGCAAAGATATGACAAAGAGTCAGTATCAGAGCATGGCTCTTCCTTCCCTTGGGAGTTTCATCCTACGAGCTCCCAATACAGTGAACCAGCAGGACACTCCCCATTACCTTTCCCTGGAGCAAACACCTTATTCCTTGGGACCCTGCTTTTATTTGGGACACTGTCTGTAAAAATAAGGCAAGAATTAATGAATTGCAATAATCAGAAATATTTAATTGTCCTTATGAATCACTCTTGCCTGAGTATATATTTAGGTCCAAGCAGTGCCTCCAAAATTTTAGAAAAAGTTTATTTTTACCTCATGCTGAGAAATGATTGGCTACAAACATTTCCCCTCAGTTCCTTTTCAAAGAACCACCAATTGCTGTAGCTTTCAGTGCCCCCAAGTGCCTGTTGCACTAAAAAATGAGGGATTTTTTTCTCCTGTTATTGCTCCTTGGAAGCCTATATTCCCTTTCAGCCAGAGAACTGTTGATATATTGATCAATACTCTGGACCCTTCACTCATCCTTATGCGAGTAGAACACAGGAGAGCAAAATGTAATGCCTTGTTATTGCTACTGTGACCTTCATAGTGAATATTTGACCTCACAGAAAATCAGTTTTCTGACTCAGTTGACAGGCAAGATAAAAAATATTGATAATAGTAGAGGATGTTCAGAATCTCATAGGAAATGTCCCTCACCTTCTGGTGCTGAAAGTTTTCCTTTCTTGCAGACCCTTTAAACTCAATTTTCAGAAGATGTAGTGAGTGCAGAAAGTCAAAAGGTAAAATTAGGTTACAAAGAAGAATTCTACCTTTTAGGCTGCTACCAGTTGTTAAAAATTTTTACTTGCCTAGAGAGTTCTTCTCTCAACTGTACTCAGAGTCAGGGTGGAAGGTAAGCTGGGGTCCTGTCCTAGAAATTACACACCTATACTTCAGTCTGGGTTGTAGCTGAATGTAGGCAGAGCTGAACTGGGTTGGTTTTACAACAAATTGTCAAGTGTTTTATTCCATAACTCAGATTAGGTCTGCGTCCAAAACTGTGAATGCAAGTTCATGGGACAGACAAATTCTAAGGCAGCCAAAGAGCTGTTGTAAAAACTCACCATTCATTTCATGTTTATACTTGATAGTTCTTGATATTTATGATCTTGTTGGAGCTGATCATCTTGCTATTATCAGCCAAAATATTTGTTTCTTCTGTAGGTCTATGCATGGAGAAGGACACAGAGCTAATACTCTACAAAATAAAGCCAAACACAAAATTATAAAAAATGCTTGTGCTACTAAAAAATCCTAAAATGCTAAAAAAATACTTTCTGACAAAAACAAAAGCAACAACTGTTTCCATTAAAATGTTCAGTTTGGTTTGGTTTGGTTTGATTTTGTTTCACTTCACTTGATTTCTAATCCACTTATTTAAAAAAACAGTTTTTGAGCAAAATGGCCTCCTGTGCCTTGTGTTTCTGTTGGCATCTGTCATCTAGAGATTATCTGGAATCCTGCATGAATTTATTTGTGCTATTTACTTGTGTTACTGGCTAATCACTAATACGATATGAGGTACTAAAAATGAACATCACAAAATGGAGTTATGTGCCCTGGCAGAGTTACAAGATGGTGGTGGTCAAAACCTTTAGGAAAAAGGGAATTTGGGAATTTGCAGCTGACTTGACTCATTCCTCAAAGATCAGTCTTACATTGGTGTTCATTGTCATGTATTTCCCCCACACTTGTCACAGACAGCTTAGGTGAGAAATTAATTTCAAATGAGGGAGGCTTCTTACAGAGTGTGCTATCCAGGTGGATAACTGCATCCTGAGCATTAGGCAAACATTAAGTTTTCCTTTCCCATGTAGTTTATGGTGTTTCCAAGTCATTTGCATGTTCTTGTAGTATTTTATAAATAGGGGCCAACCGCACTATTAATTTCAGGCTCTAGGGTAATCTGTATAATCAGCTAACCAGAAAAACTGTGCTGTTAATGGAAACTGGAGGATTTTGTGTTTGTTTTTTGCCTCATACTGTGTTTCTTAGCTTGCAACTCTACTATTTTTACAATTTCAGGACCGAATTACATCCGATATGTAGCATATCTCAGGTGAAGCAAGACTTTGAGGAGAAGCCTGGCAAAAAACTACGGAGAAGGTCTGCAGCAGAAGATTTTATTTCCAACTATGGCATAGGATTTGACCCAGCAGAGAATGAATTTGACTATGGTTTATGCAATGAAGTAGTTAATGTAGCCTGCTCTCCTAAACCTGATGCTTTCAACCCATGTGAAGATATCATGGGATACAACATTCTGAGAGTCCTGATATGGTTCATCAACATTTTAGCTATTACTGGGAACACTGTTGTCCTCATTATTTTAATAAGCAGTCAATACAAACTCACTGTTCCTCGCTTTCTAATGTGCAATCTTGCCTTTGCAGACCTCTGCATAGGGATCTACCTGCTGTTTATTGCCTCTGTAGACATCCAGACCAAAAGCCAGTACTACAACTATGCCATAGACTGGCAGACTGGGGCAGGATGCAATGCTGCAGGATTTTTCACAGTGTTTGCAAGCGAGCTCTCAGTCTACACGCTGACAGTGATCACCCTGGAGCGATGGCACACCATCACCTACGCCATGCAGCTGCACCGCAAGGTGCGGCTGCGGCACGCCGTGATCGTCATGATTTTTGGCTGGGTGTTTGCCTTCACAGTAGCGCTCCTTCCCATATTTGGGGTCAGCAGCTACATGAAGGTCAGCATCTGTCTGCCCATGGATATAGAAACACCGTTTGCCCAGGCTTACGTTATGTTTCTCTTAGTGCTGAATGTGCTGGCGTTCGTCGTTATTTGCGTCTGCTACACCTGCATCTACTTCACCGTGCGCAACCCCAACGTGGTCTCCTCCAACAGCGACACCAAGATTGCCAAGCGCATGGCCATACTGATCTTCACCGACTTCCTCTGCATGGCACCAATCTCTTTCTTTGCCATTTCAGCCTCACTCAAGGTTCCTCTCATCACCGTGTCCAACTCCAAGATCCTCCTGGTTTTGTTTTACCCCATCAACTCCTGCGCTAACCCTTTCCTCTACGCCATTTTCACCAAGACTTTCCGCAGGGATTTCTTCATTCTCTTGAGCAAGTTTGGTTGTTGTGAAATGCAAGCCCAGATTTACAGAACAGAGATCTCCTCGTCTGCTCATACTTTCCACACAAGAAATGGCCATTGCCCTCCTGCATCAAAAAACGGTGATGGCAATATTTATTCTTTGGTTCCCCTGAACCACTTGAACTGAAATGCTTGCATAAATTTCTGTCTGAGGCAGTGTGCTAATCACTTGCAAGTTTGTGAATTTGAGTAATGACTTCAGCATAACATGCAAACTTATTTTTTATGAAAAGAAAATTCTTTCCAATTCCCTATTTTTGTTCAATGAACAAACATCAGAGATGACATATCATCTTTATCAGTTCTTGAAGAACAAAGTGCCAAAGTGTTCATGTAGAACTGTCTCAAGAAATAAATGAGATCATAAACTGGTATCTCCCACCATGAAGGCAGAGATTCCCTTCATACTAGGGAGATGTTAGTTGCTTATTGAGAATTAAATAGTGGTTATATACAGTTTCAAAAAATATGTAGAATTAATTTCTTTTCCTGTGAATTGTGTTCTAGCAATATAGATAATTAGCTTTTTTCATTAATCACATCTCCTGGGGTTACAGGAGACAGAAGGCCAATTTAAGCCCTCCTCCAGCACAGGCTTGCTAGGAATGAGAATATCTCGTGATGTTCCCATTTCTGTTGAGCACAGCAGGGAGGCAGGAGGCATCTCCAGCTATGCTGGATCTTTGCAGTTCCACACTGTGTAGACCTGCCTTACCCTGTGCAGAAGTGTCACTTTGGGTGGTGTTTGTGTTGGTTTAGATTGGCAGGCTCAGAGAAACCTGTTTCGTCAGAGTTTGTATTAAAGAGTTGTTTTGGTTTAGGGTTTGTTTTCAAGGTAAGAAAGAGCAAGAATGAGGGCAAGAAAAACCCCTCATAATAAAAAGGGTGTTCTTTAAAGCTGTTTTCACAAAGCTGAATTCACTTGTCTGTCTGGGAGCCTTGGATATGCCAGCATGGGCCAATGGGCTGCTCCATCCACCAAGACACATGAGTCAGGCTTGCCATACAACAGCATTTGTGTATTATACTGCCTGGGCTGCACAAAGAACAATGGCTCTAGATGTGGCTTTTAAATCCCTGCACAAAAGTTCATGTGAAATCCTAATTTTTTGTATACTCCTTTTAGGATTTCTCCTTCCCTTCTAAAAAAAAATCCTCCGTGCACACATTGTTACGTACTGGTCCAGATTGGAAGATCTGAAGGAAACAAGCTGAAATATGTTGAAATAACAACCCCAAAAAAAAGTTAAAAAGAAGAAAGATAAAAAATTTCAATCAAGATTTTCTGATTTTACAGGAGTTTTTACTAGCATCTCAATGAATGTACAGACTTTTTTACATTATTTGAATATCTAATTTTTCCATGGTTCATCATTCCAAATTGCAACAAAGATTCATGGATGGGTAAGGTTTTCTCATGCTGATTATGTGTCGGTGCGTGGATATGTGGCATAAAGAAAACACCAGGAGAGCAGTCTGGGCTTCATTCCCATCTCACAAAGAGCTCACAGTTCTACCCCATGAAATTATAAAAGCTTGGAGTCTCCATGTTTAAATGTGATGTGCTTTAAATGTTTCCTACCTACAGCTCATAAAATTTCAGTAGCAAATTTTGATGCTTCTATCCATAATTTCCCCTGTCGTCAGTTTCACATTTCAGCATCTGAATCTTATGTGAATAACAACAGGAGGTGATTATTCATTCAGTCCTAGCCAGGGAAGGAACTATCAGCTCCCTAGTGCATAAAACAGGGGAGATCAAAGACAGTGTGTTTTGGCGGGGGAAATTTCATTACTCAACACAAGTCACACTCCCTCCAAGATCCAGGAAGAGGAAGAATGAAAGAGAAAAGTGGGAAAGACACTTCATCTCTGGGAAGATCATCTGACTACTCAGAGGAATCATTTTTTTTCACAAATGCTTTATGTCATATATTGTGTGCTGGTATGCAGCCATTAAAACCCATCCCGATGGAAGTGACTGAATGATGATGTTCTAAAATGACAAATAATCTAGTTATATTTTTTAAGGGTCCTGAATCTATTATTTGCCTAAAAATGAGGGATGTTCTTTGGCAAATGCTACCCCACTTTTGATGATAAATAGGGAAAACTCTTGCAGTGTGTCATGTCACACTTTTTTGGCTGAGCTCTGTCCATTTACTAGGAATGAGACCTGGCAGCTCAGGAAAACAAAAGCATAGTAGTCTAGAAGCCAGTCTAGTAAATCCTCTCACAGATACATCAGGCACATGAGGTTGATACAGAACATCTGCTTCATGCAAACCCATTGCCTGGACATTTGCACAGTTAAACATGTTTTATAATTTGCATCCCTGAAAAGAGACCTTGCAGGGCTGTGTCTTGTACCCAGAGTCAGACCAGAGCCTGCGATTGAGCCACCTAGCCCATGGGTTTTCCTCCAAGGAGACATGAGTTGATACTTGAGGAGCAGGTAAAGCCTGCAAAATTGGCCACCTTGCCTCATGGAGGACATGTCATCCTGCCCACATGTGCTGCTCAGGAGCTCTGGCAGCAGCTCGAAAGGTGAGAAACTGACTATGAAATTACCAAGGCAAAATTCTCCCTCTTCTAGTCCTTAGATCTTCTTGGCTTTAGCTATTTTTTTTATTTTAATTTCAATAATCTTCCAGATTGTAAGGGACATTGTGAGACCTGTGTCTTTCCCTGTGTGAGATATTGGTATTTTGGTATCATTTTTTTTTTATTTGAAGAAATCAGTATAAGAAAAAAGAGACTCAGGATACATTTTATCCATGCTTGTAATGTACAAAAAAGCCTGCTGGAGTTTGGTGTGGGTTCCCTCAGCTCTTGAACAACATGTTTATGTTGCAATCTCTAAACTATTTTACATTTCCCTTTCTGAAATCTATTTTAATAAAACCAATATCAAAACAGAGTGCTTTGAGAACAAGTGTGTGGCCAGAGATATGTTGACAAAGTATGCAATAAATGTTGCTGCTTATCTGGAGAGTTCCATTTATGCAGTGCAGCCCCCACAGTCAGGTCACTGTGACCTACAGATGAGAGACTCTGCAGAGAAAATCCTCCTGTAGCCTCCTGGAGAGTTAACAAAGCACAGAAAGGTGTGCTTGAAACCTCTTCAGCAAATAACATAGGAGGACTGACCTGTCTTTGTTTTAACAAATCTCTTGTCTTAACCCATGTTTCTTAGGAAATAATATATTAACCATTGACAGAACTCAGTCAGGCGTATTTTTCCTCTTTAATTCATATTAACAGCCCTTATAAATTTTTCCCCCTCATTTTTAGAGCCAGGGCTTGTAATTCTCTTTTGTTTAGTATTTTGCTCAAACAAATAAGTGTGTGTCTGTGTGTGCACATATGCTCATGTAAATAGGAGAGACAAGCCAAAGGTAACGAGGAAACTGAATCAAAGCCTAGCTCTGATTCACAGGAAAAACCTGGGAATTTGTCTATTATGGGTAGAATTGCCATTCATTGCGGCCATTAATTGAATTTTAGTCTTCATCAAGCCCCCAAAAATGCTGAGTTAAAGAGTTATGATTCTGTTTGCCCTTATGGTGCCATCACCAGAGTGACACAAAGAGTCTGTGCTGGCAGAGAGGACAAAAAAGCAACTTCTTGATCTTTTTGATAGAAACATCATCCCTTCAGGCACGTACCTTGTGGAGAACCCAAACCTGACCTCCCCAAGAAACATTCATCAGGTGTTATGATGGGAAATGAGAAATGGGGCCACTTCAGATTGGCAGACTAAAAGCAGCATCACAAAAATTGCCACCATGGGTAAAGGTAATAGGAGCACCAGGAGTGCCTGGTCAAAAGTGCCAATAAAAACAAAATCCTCACCTGGTAGAGAAAATGAACCATGATCCATTTTCTTTATAACTTTGCTCTGGGGGGTTACACAGATACGCCAAGCAGAGTTTGCTCATTAGAAGGCCGGTCTGTGCTTGAGCTTGTTAAGAATTCAAGATGAGATTTGCATCCCATTTAGCAAGTCTTCAAATCATTTGACCACATTTCTTTCCTGTAGATTCCCTCCTAATCATTCCACTGAGGACACAGCAGATAATCTTACATTTAATTTATGCAGCTTTGTTGTTAAGAAGAGTTAATAATGCGAAATGATTTATCCTCAAGGAATAATTTAACCATCCCTCCCCTTCCTGAATGAAAGAACAGAAAAGGAAGGTAGGTCTGGTTCAAATGGTCAGCCAGCACATACAAACCTCCTCACAGATTTGCATCTTTAATATGGGCATATGCAATCTCCCATTGTGTATGCAAATGGGAATTGCACATACACTCTCTTCTTCCCTGAGAGCTTTTGTCTAAGTACTTGGCTACAAGCACATATTTGAAAAACTGGGCGTTGTTGCTTTAAAATATTCAAGCACAGGAGTAGGATTTTATAGCTGTCATCTGGATAATTAAACTCTTCATTAACAGTTGTTCACAAACCAGTAGGTGACCTTTAATTAGGGATAAAAGTACTCAGGAATGGGTTTCAAACATTAAGAAACTGCAGAGGAGACCTTTTCCCTCCACTTCTCCAAGTCCATTGAAAATCTTTTGTAAAGCATTGGTTTTCCAAGAGAAATTATTCTGGGTGAGAAAAAAATATGTTTACAGGCACAACTCATCAGATATATGCTTTGTTTAGCCTTGGTGTAACTAAAATATCGTATTTTCTGCTTTCTGTCTCATGCCATGTGTTACCTGGGTCTTTGTTACCCCAGCCTGAACACCTGCACCAAGTCATACCTCCACCAAAAAAAGAACAGGAAAAATCAACAAGTTCCCAATGAGAGCAGTGCACAGATGGGAACGTGCTGTATTTGTGAGGGAGTGGAAGATTGCAGGGCAGAATTGAGCAATATGGACATTTCTGTTGAGTCATTTGAATATCCAGTGCTAAAATTCTGCATTAAAGGGGCAGTTTAGCTGAAGTATAGCTCCCAGGAAAAAAGCAATAGAAATTTGCATGGAAAAATCCTATGGAGAGATAAAATTTAAAGGTAAAGTCAGTGGGGTTTAAAAGCAAAATATTGATATGAGAGAGTATGTGCTGTCTCTGGAAAAAGAGATAGGAGCTCCTTTGGGGGCCATCCAGGCACCACACTGCACCTTTGCACTGCAATTCTGTGCATTCATTGTGAGCTACAAATGCCTGATTAGCTTTAAATGCTCACATTTTGTTCTTTTCATGGCTATGCTGTGTGGACAGGCACGTACCCTTTGGACATCTATACTCTTGCCTCTTCATTGCCTCAGCTTTACCCCATCTTGTGCCTTTCCCCAATGATGGTTTGTGCTGTCTGTGCTTGGAAGTGCTCTGCTTCTACCTGCAGTCATGTAAGGAACAGAGTCCACATCCCTTAGAAACACTTCAGAAATCAGCAGCTGGAAAACCAGAGCTCTGCTCGTAGCTCTCTGTTCTGGGG